GCTAGAATTGCCAATAAGAGAGGATTGGAAATCATTCATATTAATAATTAATTATAAACTTATGGTGTAATATTCTATGTATCTTAACTATGACTTGAGTTTGTGCATGTCTAGGTATAGCTTATATGCTCATAGATTTTGTGTGATGGGGAGATCATGGATTGATATTAAGTTGTGTTTGTTATTAAGGCCGTTCATTTGTTACATGTATTAATTTCATAAGGCAAGTTTTAACTTATAAGAGTGTCACAGAAGAAAAAAAAATGTGATTAATATAAGAAGATACAGTAAAAGTAATAATATGCTCAACAACAAAAAAAATAGAAAGAAAAAGAAAAAGAAAGAGGCAATGTATGTAAACGTCAAAAACTCAAAATAAACAGACGCGTGCGTAGGTCCCTTGTCAATTCACAATTAGGGGTACTTTGGTGGTTATCGGATAAGAGCATCGAACAGATGAACAGGTTAAAGAAATAAAGATAAGAGTGGAATATAGCGATCACCTATCTATTATGTTGTAATTACTTACACTTCTCTTCTTTGTTAAAAAAATTCATGTAAATTTTGTAAAAAATTAAAGTATCTATTATATAAACTCTTCTTGTACATTTGAAATTTCATTATTATCTATCCATTGACTGTTAATTTTAACTTTTTAACTTTTAAATTCACTAAACTGACCCTCTTTAACATAAGAATTATTTCAAAATCTATATTATCCAAAAAAATTTATTATGTTATAAAACTCATTAATTTTTATCAAATTTACTGAAATTTATTTATTTATTTTTTAAAATAGCTAAAAACATATTTCAAAAATATATTTTTATTCATCACATAACATCAAATGATATAAGTTCCAGAGATTATATAAATAATTTAAATTCTAAATTTAAATTTATAAACATTTTTAATAATGAAATTATGTAACTGTTAAAATGATTAATTTATGATTTATCAAGTTGAGAGGTAATTAGTAAATGAATTTTTTTTTCAATATAAATTTTAATTTAAAAATAAGTTTTTAGAGTATTCATAACAAAGTTAATAAATTGGACTAAATTGTATGTTTTTAAAATAGAAGAAAAGTCTATGTAAATAAGGCAAAATGGAAGGGTGGTCAAAGTATTTTACTTTAAAGATAAAAATAGAATGATCAACATGTAAAAAAGAGATAAGTCAATTATATTTATAGAGAAGAACAATTTAATTTATAAGAATGAGATTAATGATTCATAGGGTTTATAAGGGTGTGGAGTCAGGAAACGAGTAGGCTGAGCCCATGAGATGAAGCCCATAAGCCCAATTCTTTCAAAATCAATCATTTTCTAACGCCCAGCCATTATTTAAGGAACTTAGCATCGCCTGTAAGCTCGTTTATATTATTTTTTTATTTTTAAAATTTTTAAAAATTAAAATTTTCAATTCTAATATATCATTTTTTTAAAAAGAATGCAAATTATAGTGTTCAAAAATTAAAATAAATAATAAAAATTATAATTTTAAAGTATAAGCATATATTTTAAAGTTTAAATTTAATTTAAAAATTAAAAATATTTTAGACAAAAAAATAAAAACTTTAGGCCATATTTTTTATAATTACACATGTAAGAGTACTCTTTAATGATATATCTTTCAAACAATATTTTAAAAATGTACTCAAATGTAAAGCTTGTAATGATAATTGATTTTTACAAAATCATTTTTTGGCAAGTGAATGTGGAATTTTAATTGCATTATTTGAAAATAGTAGCTAAGGACATAATGGACTTAATTTATATTTTAAAATTTATTGAGACTTTACTTGAATAAAATTATCATATAGGTATTTAAGTGTCATTTACCCTTAATATTATTTGTGAACAACAAAATATTTTTAGTTACCAAGCATATCATAACAAACATTTCATTCATTGTAGCAAAAACCCTCAACAGGGTGTGAATGTGGTTTTGTGAAAGTTGGGTTGCATGGTTGATGAAGTGCATTACCTCTATTTAGTTTCATCTTCAAGTTTTTGGTACAGAGGTTGCTTGGTTTCATCTTGGACGTGATGTGAGGCAAGGAGATCCATTGTCTCCTTATTTCTTTATTGTTGCTATTGAAGTACTTGCTTTGATGATTCAGTATCATGTGGAAAAGAATGAGTTAAGGGGCATTAAACTTGCATGTGGAGCTCCAATCTTGTCACATTGTCTTTTTGTAGATGATACTTTGTTCTTTTTGAATATTGATAAAATTAATTATCAGATTATTAAGAGGATTTTGGAGACTTATTGTGTAGCTTCTGGGTAGAAAATCAATTATGATAAGTCATGCTTGTTCTTTTCAGAAAATACACCACATGACAAGAGAGTGAAAGTGTCTGAATTGATGGGAGTTTAGTTTTCTAACCAACCTGAAAAATACCTCAGCTTGCCAGTTATTTGGAGAAGATCAAAGGCAGCTGCACTTGCTTTTGTAAGGGACAAAATTGGCTTTTAGTTACAGGGTTGGAGACAAAAAATGCTAACTTTTGCTGGGAGAGAAGTGCTGATTAAAGCTATGGCAAATTCTATCCCAACTTATCCTATGACTTGCTTTTCTTTTCCTAAGAAAGCCTGTGAGAATATTGACAGGTTAGTTGCTGACTTTTGGTGGTGTAAGGGTGGTGAGGAGGGAGGTATTCATTGGAAAAATTAGATTTCTCTTGCTAGTCCTAAAGCTGATAGGGGAATGGGGTTTAGAGATTTGAAGTGCTTTAATAAGGCTTTACTTGCCAAGACAGCATGAAGAATTCTAATTAGCCCTAATGACATATGGTGTAAGTTATTGAAAAGAATTTATTTTTCCAAGTGTGATTTTTGGCAAGCTAAGAAGGGTGGAAGGGCTTCTTAGTGTTGGTCCAGTATAATCGAAGGTAGGGATTTGTTGAAGGAGGAGTTTTGTTGGAAAATTGGTGATGATATAAGTGTAAGGGTTTTGGAAAGCTATTAGATCCCTAGACTTGCATCTCATAGACTAAAGGTTGATGCAAGGAATGATGAAGAGAGGAAGTTGAGGGTCTTTGACCTCATTTGTGATGGAAGGCGGAAACTTGATGCCATTAAAGATAGAATTTTTGATAGAGAGAGAGGAGCTATTATGAAGATTCCTCTTCCTTCTAGATATTTTGCTGATTCATGTATTTGGTTGGCTAACAAAGATGGTGGTTATACTGTGAAATCAAGTTATATGGTGGCTAAGAGGGAAGTTGAGGACGTATCTACCATGTCTGATATGGTTCCTAGTTATTCTTATTAGATTTCATCAAAATTATGGAAGGCTGTTTGGAAGATTTCCATTACACCTAAGGTTTAACATTTCTTATGGAGGGTTTTTAATAGAGCACTTGCTATGAAAAGTGCATTGTATGAGAGAAAGTTTTCTAGGGATCCTATGTGTCCAATTTGTGGGGAAGAAGTTGAATCAGTAGAGCACTTACTCTTCTTATGTCCTTGGGTGAAGCAATGTTGGTTTGGATGCTCTTTAGGTATCCATTTCAATAATGAAGGGTAGTTGGTGTGGATAAGTGGCTTGAAGAGATGTTGATTGACTGCAAAAGCATTGATGAATATGGTAAATCTGTGTTGGTTACCATGTATCGGTGGATTTGGAAAAGTAGATGTAATTAGGTGTTTAATGGTGAGAAGGTTAATGCTAAGAGGGTGATTAATTTGGTGCCAGCACAAGCTAAGGAATTCTGGAAAGTTAAGGAAGCGAAAAGGAAATTTGATAGGAAATTGGCTCCTATCAATTCTGCTTGTTCTAAAAAGTGATAGCTGTAGAGGAAGGGTGTGTTAAAATGAACTGTGATGGTTCATTTGATGTGGGTTCTAAGAAGCCAGGGATTGGGGTTATTTGTAGGGGTAGTGATGGTGTGTTTTTTGGGGGTTCTACCAAGTCAGTTGTTGCTAATTCTTCCTTTTATGGCTAAAGGCTTGGCATTGAAGGAGGCTATGTTATTGAAAGAATGGTTTGCTGAGGTTTATGTTTGTTTTGAGGTTGACTGTGAAGTGTTGTATAAGGCTGTGATGTAGGTATCTACTTAAGGGTGTGACTGGCAGTGTAAAGATGTGTTGCATGATCTCTTTGACTTGAAGCATGTTATGCAAGATGTTTCTTTCTCCTTGGTTTCTAGACTAGGAAATAAAGCTGCTAATTTTTTAACAGTTGGTAAAAAATAGAGGATGTTCCAAGCTATTTGGCTGGAGTCTGCACCATCCTCTTTGTTCAATATCCTGCATAATGATGCTGCTGGGATTAAAAGTGCCATATTCATGAAAGTAGGTATTGATTAATTTTAGTTTGTTTTGTTCTTAGCTTGTTTTGTTATATTTATATTTTGTGTATAATTTTCGATTGGTTATAAATAGAATTGTCTCGTATTTGGCAAAAAAAAAAAAATGTGCCCCTTTCCCATCGACGCTTAAAAAAGACAAACTTTATTTCTCACTTAAATTAATGAAATTGTCGCTCTTGTTCTCGTTGTTTTCTCCCAAAAGTGTCAGAGGGTTATAATTTGTATAGTTCAATTGATTAAATTTGTAATATAATAATTAAATAAAAATATTATATGTGTGTATATTATAATAGCTGTGTTAAATAAATTAAAAAAAGATAAACAAAAGTATAAAAAATAAACACAGTATGCTAACAAAAATATTACATAAACAAAATTAAAATATTTAATAGTTAATATTTTAATTCCTTTAATGATTTTTTTAAAAATAATAATCAAATTATACTAAATTTTTTTAGTATAATTATGGGTTAGGTGAAATCAAATCTTACAATTAATTCAATCCTCTATCGTCAAGCATGAATAAAAAAAAAAAGAAAATCCCAAAATTGATAATTAATTAAAGATTTATTAATTTTTAAATTTTTGGGACCAAAGCGTATGAGACACGCAACTTCCCATTTTTACTGCCGACTTCCCTGGCCTTCTTTTCATCTCTCCATTCTCCAGTTTCTTGAAATTCTTCATTGGTTCCGACTCTTTGCTCTGCCTCTCGGTCTTTCTTTCTTCACTCTTTTTATTCTTCCCACAAATGAAGGATCACGATGAAGATTGGAGAGGAGATTACAAATTAAGATGAGAGTAGTGAAAAATCAAGACTGCATCTTGCAAGTCGCAGTCGCACAAAGTAGCAGATAGGAAGAGTGGAGACTGGAGAGTGAAGACGGCGTCGAATCGATCAGTCGAAGCTTGAGGGAAGAAAGCAAAGCACAAAGAAGAGTCTCAGAGACGTCGAAGAAGGGTTTTCTGGAGTCAAAAAATGATTTCAGGCCTTATAACTTTGTTTTTGGTTGCTCTCTCACACATGACTGTAGCATACGATGCTCTCTATCTCTCTTTCTGTCGAGGCTTCCACTCCTCCAAATGCTGTTTTTTTCCCCACAATTCTTTAAGGGGTTGAAAGTATGATATCGCTTATTGTTAGTTTTTTCTGATATTATTTTCCTCAATCTAGAAATTTTAGTTATGTTTCTGGTTTGATTCAGAATTGGGTCACGAATTGGTGAAATCAACAAGACGGCAGCAAAAGATGGCGTTGGCGAGGCAGATTAGGGCGAAACATTGCGTCGCTTCTCCAGTTTGTCAAAATGTCACTGCTTGTATCGAGGTATGCTATTCCTTAAATTTCTGCTCACAACACCCATAGCAGATATACTATTCCTTAAATTTCTGCCTATCTCCTTTTCTTTTAAAGTTTAAATGGGCATTTTTAACCTCCGAGCGTCACCTTGTTAATGATTTCTTTTATGTTTAGAATCACACGCTTTGATATAGGAGGTGTTAGATAGGTGTTGATTTAACTCCAATAGTACTAGTGGGATGCGAATATGTACCAGAGCTCCAAGTGTTCTAGCATCATACCATAGATTGCTCCAAAAGGATGTTTCGTCTGTTATGAAGAAGGTAATTTCATCACATATTTGATGTTGTTAATTGGTATAAGTGAAATTCATCATATATTTATCTAGATGGATCGTATGAGAGTGCATGTAGGAATAACTTGAATTACTCATTTTTCTAGTCAATATCAATGTTAGGTTGTAAGTAATAGCCTTTAGGTACGTCTTGATTTGATTCCAACATTGCTTGTGATTTCTTGTGATCGAAAGCTCCTACTGTTCCAAAATTTTATGATATATAATTTCAAAATGATGGTTAGTTTCTTTGTTGAGTGGGTTTATCATATTTTTGATACTGTTAGCCACTTCTTTTGTCAATCTAAGAACAAGGAATTTCTCAGTTAGAAAATATTATTTTTCTTGATATCTCTCTCAATTTTTAAATAAAAGTCTCAATCTAAAAACATATAAAATTATATTTATTTAAACTTGATTTTTCTTATTTAGCTGTTTACCATAAATATGTCTTTAAAAAGTGCTTATATCTTTCTCAATTTTTAAGTTAAAGTCATCTTTTATTTTTTTAAAAAATAATTTTTTAATGTATGACTTAATGAAACTGCCATGCATACACATCATATATGACTGATTATATCTTTTCTCTTTTTTCCCCTCCTGCTTCTCTTTATTTTTTAAATTCGTTTTAAAGTTTTTTCAAATATAAGCAAATCTTTTAATGTTTGCGCTTCCTATTATTTATGTGTATATTTTATTTAAACCTGATTTTTTTATTTAACTTAAATATTTCTTCAAAAAATGCTTTTGTTTTTACATTTTTATTGATATCTTTCCCATTTTTTAAATAAAATTAATCATTTATGAAAAATGTTAAATCTTATATCCTTAAAAGAAAGTATTATATTATCAAGCATTTAAAGTATTTTCTTAAGAAATATATATTTTTGATGTGGGACTTGAGAAAACAAGAATGCACGCACTCTCTCTCTCTCTATATATATATATGTATGTATATATAACTCATTACATTCTTTCTCTTTTTTCCCTTGTTCTTTTTCTTTATTTTTTGCTTACATTTTAAAACTTTTTTTTAAATATATGCACATCTTTTTAATTTTCGCAATTACTGTTACTCATTGCTATTTTTTTTTGTCTGTGCTTGATCTTTTATCTAGCTTAAATATGTTTTCAAAAAATGTTTTATGCTTTATATTTATCTTGATGTCTTTATCAATTTTTAAATAAAACTCATCTCATTATTTTTTTTTCTTTTTTGATGAGGAACTTGTTGAAATCTTCATGCACACATTATATACAAGTCATTGCATTCTTTTTCTATTTTTCCACATTATATTTCTTGACTATTTTTCTTCATTTTAAAGTTTTTTTTAATATAAGCACATCATTTTATTCTTTAAACTGCCTCGTTATCTATATTTTTGTTATAAACTTGAATTTTTATTTAGTTTAAATGTCTTCAAAAAATGCTTATTGCTTTATATTTTTATTGATATCTTTCTTAATTTTTAAATAAAATGCATCATTTATGAAAACTGTTAATGTTAATCATATATTCATAAAAATGTATTATATTATCAAGCATTTAAAGTATTTTCTTCAAAATTAAATTTTTTTGTGTGGTACTTGAGGAAACATGCATGCACACACAGCTTGTATAACCCCCAAGCATATCTCTATCTTTGCACTTACTATTACTCATTTCTATTTTTTTTCTATACTTGATTTTTCATTTAGTTTAAATATGTCTTAAAAAATGCTTAATCCTTTATATTTATCTTGATATCTTTGTCAATTTTTAAATAAAAGTCATCTCATTTTAAAAAAATATTTTTGAAGTGGGATTTGTTGAAACTTCATGTACATACACCATATATAACTCATTGCATTTTTCACTACTTTTCCTCATTACATTCCTTGAATGTTTTCATTCATTTTAATTTTTTTTAAAATATAAACACATCTTTTTAATCTTTAAACTGCCTATTCTTTATCTATATTTTTGTTTTAAAGCTTGATTTTTCATTCAGCTTAAATGTTTTCAAAAAATGCTCATTGCCTTATATTTTTCTTGATAGCTTTCTCAATTTTTGAATAAAATTCATCATTTATGAAATATGTTAATGTTAATTTTATATTCATGAAAATATATGGTATCATCAAGCATTCAAATTATTTTCTTTACTGGCAAAAAAAAGTATTTTCTTTAAAAATAATTTTTTTACGTTGGACTTTAGAAAACATGCATACACACAGAATATATATAACTCATTGCATTCTTTTTCTTTTTTCTTGATCTCTTTGTTGATCTCTCTCTCTCTTTTTAAAGCTTTTTTAAATATAAGCACATCATTTTAATCTTTGCATTTTATATTATTTATCTTTATATTTTTTTCTCATATATACTTGATTTTTTAGATTAATTTTATCTTCTAAAAGTGGTTAATGCTTTGTATTTTTCTTAATATCTTTCTCAATTTTTAAAGAGTAGTCATCTTTTATTTTTTTAAATATATTTTCAATGCACACACACCATGCACACCTATCCATGTATAACTAATTGTGTTTTTTTTTTTTTCGCTTGTGCTTTTTGTTGGTTTTTTTTTTTTTTTACATTTTAAAGCTTTTTCTAAATATTGCATCTTATTTTTTTTTTCCACTTCCTATTATTTATCTATATTCTTTTTTTATTTTTCATTTAACTTAAATATGTCTTTAAAAAATGCTTAAGGTTTTATATTTTTCTTGATATCTTTCTAAATTTTTAAATTAAAGCCATCTTTTATTTTCTTTAAAAATATAATTTTTTGATGTGGGACTTGACAATATCACCCTGTACACCCCACATAAATAACTCATTATATATTTTTTCTCTTTTTCCTCCTGCTTTTTGTTGATTTTTTTTTACTTACATTTTCAAAGATTTTTTTTTAATATAAGCACATTTTTTAAATTTTGCACTTCCCATTACTTGTTTTTATCTTTTGTCTGTACTTTGATTTTTTTATTTAGTTTAAATATGTCTTCAAAAAGAGCTTATTGCTTTACAATTTTATTCATATCTTTCTCAACTTTTAAATAAAAGTCATCTCATTTTCTTTCTAAAAAATACTTTGACGTGGAACTTGTTGAAACCTCCACACACACACACACACACACACACACACACCATATATAACTGATTACATTTTTTTTTATCTTCTTTTCCTCATTCTATTGCTTTATTTTTTAATTCATTTTAATTTTTTCACTCCCTATTCTTTATTTATATTTTTGTTTTAGACTTTATTTTCTTATTTAGTTAAAATATGTCTTCAAAAAATGCATATTGCTTTACGTTTTTAACGGCATCTTTCTCAATTTTTAAATAACAGTAATCATTTATGAAGATCATTAATTTTAAAATAAATTAATCATTTTTATTGATTTTTTTTGCTGATTTTTAAAGATTTTTTTAAATAATAATCACATCTTTCGATTAAACATGTGTTGAAAAATTCTTTATATATATATATATATTGTTTAAACTTGATTTTTTTATTTAGCACAATTATGTTTTCAAGAAATGCTTAATTGTTTCATATTTTTATTGATACCTTTCCAATTTTTAAATGAAATTCATCATATATTAAAAAAAAACTTATCATATTATCAAGCATTTAATTAAATTATTTTATTTAAAAATAAATATTTTTACATGGGACTTGAGGAAGCTTGCATGCACACACAATATATATGACTTATTACATTCTTTCTCCTTTTTGCCTTGCTCATTTGTTGATTTTTTTCTTACATTTTAAAGCATTTTTTAAATATAAGTCCATCTTTTTATTTTTTTTTGGATCTTCTAAACTCATCTTTTTAATCTTTGCACTTCTTATTATCTGTCTCTATTTTTTGCCTATACTTGATTTAATTTTTTTTATTTAGCTTAAATATGTCATCAAAGGATGCTTAATGATTTATATTTTTCTTTATATCTTTTTCAATTTTTTAATAATTTAAAAAATTATTTGTGATGGGGGACTTGATGAAACGACTATGCACACAAACTATATGTAATTCATTACATTCTCTCTCTTTTTTTCTTTATTCTTTTTCTTTATCTTTTTCTTTCATTTTAACCTTTTTTTTAACATAAGCACATCTTTTAATCTTTGCACTTTCTATTATTTATCTATATTTTTTTTAAACATGATTTTTTATTTCACTTAAGTATGTCTTCAATAAATGCTTATTTCTTAACATTTTTATCTGTATCTTTCTCAATTTTTAAATAAAATTAATCATTTATGAATATTGATTCTATTATATTCTTAAAAAAATTTATGATATTATCATGCATTTAAAATATTTTCCTTAAAAAAAAATATTTTCTATGTGGGTCTTGAGGAAACATACATGCGCAGGCAACATATATAACTGTTTGTATTCTTTCTCTCTCTGTTTTTTTTCCTTGATCTTTGATATTTTTTCTTAAATTTAATTTTTTTAAATATAATCACATCTTTTCAAACTTTACACTTCCTTTTATGTATCTCTATTTTTTTTTTGCCTATATCTTATTTAGTTTAAAGATATCTTCAAAAAGTACTTAATGCTTTATATTTTTATTGATATCTTTCTCCATTTTTAAACAAAATTCATCATTTATGAAAGATGTTAATAGCTTAAATATGTCTTTAAAAAGTGCTTATATCTTAATTTTTAAATTAAATTCATCTTTTATTTTCTTTAAAAAATGATTTTTGGATATATGACTTGATCAAATCGTCATGCACACACACCATATATAGCCACATCATTTTTGAAGAATGTCAATCTTATATTCTTAAAATAATGTATCTTGTTATCAAGCACGATATTTTTTTTCTAGAAATATATATTTTTGACGTTGGACTTTGAGGAAGGAAGCATGCGCCGAGGGCATATATGAATCACTGCATTCTTTCTCTTTTTTTCTCTTGTTCTTTTTGTTAATTTTTTCCTTACATTTTAAAGTTTTTTATGAATATAAGCACATCTTTGCACTTCCTATTACTTATATATATATATATATTATATATATATATATATATATTCAAAGAAGTGCTTAATGGTTTATATTTATCTTGATATCTTTCTCAATTTTT